AGGTACTAGGACTTTCATATTTCACACATTTATTCTTTGTGACAAGACCTTTCAATGAATACCAACAAAAAACCTTGGAAATTTACGTACTTATGAAAAAACTATATTCTTGACCATAATTTTTGAACGGTAAGGGCTACGGCTTTATATTTTATTGCTACGGCTTTTATACTTCACATATTTTATTCTTGTAAGAAGACCTTTCATTGGATACCAAGAACTTTGACCTTTTGACCTTGACCTTGTTTTATAAAAAATTATAACCTTGAGTTAATATTTCACACATGTTTTTTTCATTGGATACCAACAACTCTTTTGACCTTGGAGATTTACGTACTTCTGAAAAAACTTTAACCTTGACCATAACTTTTAAACGGTAAGGGCTAGGGCTTTCGTACTTCACGTATGTAATCCTTGTGAGAAGACCTCTTGCATGCCAAGAACTATTTTTGACCTTGGAGTTTTAACTACTTTTTAAAAACTTTAACCTTGGTCACAACTTTTGAACGGTAGAAACTAGGACTTTCATATTTTAAATATATGTATTCTTTATGGCAAGACCTTTCATGGGATACCAAAAACTTTTGACCTTGACCCTTAAAATGATATCTTGCAAAAGATTTCTTTGAATTTGCTTGTCAAAAATTAATATAATGGTCTTTTATGGGCAAAAGTGAACATTCATATATTTTGAGAAACCTTTCAAATTGTTTTGTCAAAATATCTTAAGCATGTAGACTCTAAGCAGAACCAAAACATTTTCACCCAAAAGGATTATTTATATTTCTTCCTCATTGTAAGCTCCGTATCAGTTAAACTGTACAGTTGAACTGTGATAAGGCTAGTAAGAAACCTTAGTTCTTTGTCACCAAATATATTTGAGAAATCTCACATAACAGATCAAAAAATCTATCAACTGTACAATATGAATGTAGAGGTGTAAAACTCTATAGTTACTAGTACTCGTCTGCTTTTTACAGTGCTTAGATCGTCTGTTGACGTTTGAACTATTTCAGTTTCTTCTCTAGAACGAATGAATTCGGTATACAACATCTATGAGCACACAAGGTTAAACATTGTAAATGTCATTGTCTCTGCCGCCTTATGGCTTAAGTCTTAAGGGATGTCAGAGGGAAAAAAGTCAACATTTGTGCAGTCTAAAATGGATAGCCAACATGCAATTTGTTGGCCTTAACCTGATACCAGTTTTATTATTCTCTATCAACGGAGTTGGAGGAGATATAGTAATGCAATCGTGTGTTTGTTTGTGAGTGAGTTAATTCTGTGCGAAACGGAAGTGACGTAATTTGCATCGGGATCGATGTGCTCTTTTCGAGAAGAACCTATATAGTTATCTTCTTTGCAAAAAGGGATAACTTTTATACATGATTATGGTTATAGATGTAGGGTCTTCCTCTGGCTGTCTAATTTCGTCACATAACGCCAAATTCCTGTTCCAAGTTCGGCGAAAACCGTCATGACCAACTGACAATTCATGATACATGCATATACTTACTTTGACACCCAAACCCTCCCTATATTAAATAAGGTCAACCATTAAATAAACCTCAAAATGTCTTTTTAAAGTAACATGTTTTATAAATTCGTGGCTCCCACATGAGAAACCACTAAAGGGGTATTCTTTCTTTTTTAATTCTCCATCGAAGACCATCCATAGCAAACTTCTTTCCAAATAACTTGGTTACTCCATTGTCCAATTTACCAATTAACACTGATATCCATAGATGTTCAATCAGATTGAAAAGTTAGTCCGGTAGAACTTGTTTGTTAGAAGTAGGACTCGGAATAATCTGGTTTGCAGGTGAACTAGCTGCGCACAGATGAGTTGCAAATACTGCACTCTGAGAAAATATTCTTTGGGTAATTAATTAGAACAATTGGACCATTAGACAGCCTCAGATATATAATTATGAAGTGAATAAGAACAAAACCCTTGTCGTGTCATTTCTAGTAAGATCGATTGCTACAGAAAATCATTTATTATATGAAAAATCAGAAATTCCCCTGACAACGTTTTCAGTATAGCATGTAAGGATTCCGTTGTAACCGGTTCCATCATAGCAGGATCAAACTGTAACGTTATATACTGGTACTTCATTTCTTCCCACCGTTGGGTGAAATATTACAATTCTTATGAAAGTTTTGAAATATAATTGTATTTTAAAAGCAGATTCGGTCGGTGGGTACACTGTGAAGAAGCCGTGTATGGCACGTAATCCAAATATCACGTCGGGCTTTTCCTTATCAAATTTTGTCTGTTTATCTGAAAATGATCAATCTTTTGGAAGGAACGAAACGTATTCTAAGAAAATAAATGGGAAAATAATCAAAGAAAAAGAAGTCAATTTCTAATCTGGTCGAAATTCTCATGGTTCGCCAAAAAGTACGAGGTTGCCTTAATCATGTGATTGATGCTGTGCTTGATAAACTTTTTTCTTCCTCATCTTCAACGTTCGTCATAATTATGAGAATAACATAATTACAAAATTGACTCCCCGTCAGTAGAGGCAAGATAACGCATGATATAAGACATTTCTGTGAATATTCTATCTTAAATGAATTACATTATCGTGTTTTCGAATCTTGACAAGAAAATTAGATTTTTCAATCAAGGGAAAGTGGAGGCCATTAATCAAAGTGTCTATGCAAAAAAAAAAATCAATTATTAATTGTTATTTGATGTCAATTTTGGATTTAAGGGATTAAGATATTGAAAATGTTTCCTAGGATCATTGCAGTTGATTGTGAGGGAAGATACGGGCTAGCAACGCAAAGCTATCGCTTTCCAGATTAAATATGTTTCAGATGAAATTTTTTTCTTTAATATTCTTATATGAAGAATCCAGACACAATTATTTCGGCGGCGATACGGGTACAACACACAGAAAGAATCTCAATTTGGTCTCGTGGTATTTTATTAACTATAATTTGATTAACGGAGTGTTTCATTTCCTATTGTCAATTTTATTACATTTCTATTCATGGTCGGATTTAATAATCTCGCGACCTAGGCAATACATGTCACTACATTTATTCACTCACGTAATTGTAGGTTTTCTCGTTGATATTAGATCCCTGATTTCATTAACTATTGGGTTTAAACACTGAGACGGCTTTATTTCATTTTGGCGACCTTTGTACACGGTACCTAAATAAATTACTTAATGAAAAACCCGTGCCTTAGGTTCTTGCAATTACAAAGATATTACCGCCTTTTTCTTCGCTGGTTTTCTTCATTATTAGGTGACCGTAGGTAGAAAATTGGCAATCACACTTGTCCGTTATTATATTGGTCGGGTAATATAAATGTAATCTGGATTCTTTTTTATAATTTCTACGATCGGTCAAATAAATAGTATGCACACAATTTATTTTATTTTTAAATTCTGAGATATTTTTGTTTTGTAATTACATTGCAAGGCTTAATAAAAAGCTGTGTCTACAATTTTTTTTTAATACATTGTGGTGTGATTCTATCGAGAAATAAGTGTCATCCATTTTGAATTTTCCATTTAAAAAAATTATACGAGGATATTTTCATAAGTTGGCTCGATTTATGAAAATTGCTAAATTTAATTGGAAAAATAAGTAATGAAAATAGATTTTGTAATATCCCATCCCACATACTTGTAATTGTATAAGCTGTTTATAGATCAAAGGGAGAGAACTCTTTGTTCTGTTCTGTTCTGAACTTAAGGTAGCTCGACCCTCAGGTTCTGCTTAATTTTTAATCATCTTTTTAAGTAATGCTCACAAAAAGTCTCTGATTTCACAGAGTAACATGAATTTACCCATAGTATTCTTCAAAGTTCATCATTATGGTTAAATCATATTACGTACATTGACCAAGTAAATAGAAAAACTAAGTTACTTTTTAACAAAAAGAGTCCTTTTCTCCGTCGAATGCCTGGATACCTATATACGAGTACTAGTAGCTTTTACCCTAAAATATACCTGTTCACCAATTTTGGCGATTCCTGAATGTATGTTCCGAGATTTGATAATTTTCCAATGTTTGACCTGTTTTACCGCGATTTTGATTTTGTTCGCAACATGTGGTAAGCATAGAGAAACAAGTTTTACATGGCTAACGGAAGAGGTACATACAAAAGAAAGGAGTTAGAAAGCAAAAAAAGAAAAATTAATCGCGAAAGAGCAGTAAAACAAATCGCGGAAAAGAGAAACTGCGATATAGTACATAGTGTATCATTGTTAGACATCATACATCAGGGTTTCCTTCATATCATGTTAATTGATAAGGGTTAGTATTGAATTACAGATTTAAGGAAATTCGATTTCTCTGAAATCGATTTTACTTTTTTCAAGTGTGGATTACAATTAAATGTCAACTTTCTGAAGAGCCCCTTCTAAGACTTAAAAAAATTCTAAATTATATTAAAATGCATGAAATGAATATTGCTGCATAAGTAAAATTAGAATAATCCTTCCTAGCTGAGGAGCAGATATACTTAAGGTTCAAGTATTTATCAAACGCAGCAGGTGTGTATCAATGTTTTTTTCGCATGAAGGGTGGGAGTGACCCCCCCCCCCCCCTACCCAATAAAAGAAAAAATCAATTTCTTGACAAGCAAAAATAAAATAAACCTCATTTCTTTTTATCCAGCTTTCAAAAATATAACGATTAAAGTTAAACTTTTGAAAAGACCTTGATGAATTTTTTTTCAAGGAAAAATCATATCAGATAAAATATTGCTTTAATAACCAATGTCCAGGAAATACTGAAAAACCCAAACTTAGTCGATCCTTCATTATAAAATGCCATGTGTCTAGAAACTATTTTATTACATATTTTTTTTACTGTACACATGATCGTATGATTTATGTATTATACATATAGCATCACATTCTAGAACAATACAAAGATATCTGAACAATTGATGATTCAAACAAAAAACATTTCATTGAGCAGGCTTAGCTTGATTTACATCGGGATCAAAAAACAAAATTTTAATGTTCTTCATAGGTGGCGCTACAAACACATATTCCGCCATCTTGCTATTGCTGATTCACAACACTGTGTCTTTACATCAATATTTCGAATACTAGAGGAGGTATAAAGAAATGAGATAATTATCTCAGAATAATCAATGCTTTTTCATTGAAATTTTAGGTTATTGTTTGAATTCGATCTCTCAGATTATGAATGTTAAGCGTACAGTAATCCTATCCTCAAGCTGAACTTGACCACCCCCTTCATGACACATTTATTTTGTTTACAAATTAGCTATTGTTTACTAATGCAAAATGCACCGCGAATTTTATGTACATTCATGGAAAATGCTAACTATCGTTACAGGTATAATTATATAGATTTGTATGAAATGCTAAGATGTTTACACGAAAACATCGGATTAGATAACTCGTGACAACGAAAAAAATTCCACTTGAAAATACAAATTATAACTTCAGATGATATTCTGTTTTAAATAGGTATGCAAAAGAAAACAATTTATTGCAGTATCCTAGTTGTTGTGTTCATAGTTTTGATTTGTATTAATTTTCTTCCTCCTTCTGATACAGGAGTCAAGGAGTATAACCATGGCGGCTGGCCCCTACAATTACTCATATATATTTAAATACATCATCATCGGAGATATGGGTGTTGGAAAATCTTGCCTTCTACACCAATTTACAGAGAAAAAATGTAAGTCAGACAGTGGTGGCTCTGATGAAACATCGATTTTGTACATCTCTTTTTCCCTTTCCTCCCCCGGGTGCAAGTTAAAATGGCACCTACAATTTCTACAATTTGGCCATGTAATGAAAGTAAAATGTAGTAGGGTACACTGCTTCCTTCGAGCTTGGGCCAGTGAGTTAACCCTCTAGCTCAATTGGGAGAGCACTGGACTGGCAAGGCCCTGGGTTAACAGAAATGTCTCTGTTACCATACATGTTAACTCTACCGATTTAGGCGGGAGTCTACCACTTTTTCACTCCATCTCCCGACTACCGATTTTATTAGTAAATCTACCGCTTTTCCACAAAAGTTTCATCTAAAGTATTTTTGGTTTGCTTGGGTATCAATTATTGAAGCCACTTGTCATAAAATCTCGTTAAATATCGCGTGATTTGACCTGGAAGCATACAAATGCTTTTTTTGTACCGATGTGTTCATAGATTTCAAGCACGTATTTGACAACGACAACAGCACAAGATTACTAGTGATTACATTGGTTATGATAAATTATGTCAACAATACTGCCATGAAAAAGGAGATGCAACATTTTAGAATTGGATGAAAAAGGAGATACAACATTTTAGAATTGGATGAAAACATTTGACAATGTCTATAAATGTATAAATGGATTTTTTTTTCTGACAAGTGGCAAAACTTTGCAGCTGATTCCATTTCTTAAATTTAAAAAAATAGCTTGTAGCTTAATAAAATATGTCAACTTAGTGTACATTTACCTTAAATATAAAGGAAGCCATTTTGGATGCGAAATTTTATCAATAAAGTCAATAGAAATCACTTCATTGATCAAGCCATTAGGCACATCTCTACTTTCGTTTTGGATTGTCAGGAAATCTTATTTATTTAACGAAAGATAGGAACTAGTTTTAGATCCAGATTAAACCATGTCATCATTTGTTGTGTTTGACAACTGAATGAACATCCAGAATTATTGCTTCTAGGCTATATCAGCAAAGACCACTCTTCAAAAGGCTAACCTAGGACCCAATCAAAGCAAAATGATGAGCATGAAAAATATTTGAATTTGTATAATTTATGTCAAACTTACGTGTTTCTGTCTACTTCTTTGCAGTTAAAATTTATTATTGCAGTTTTCATTTAAGGCTATATATGTATATTTCATGAAATATATCTTCATAAATCCCAACACGCGTGCAATGCTACTGCTTTTGATATCTGAATCTCCCTATTTTTCATCACAATAGGGTAACATGTATGCTATTACATTTTGTACCCATGTTGAGGCCCAGGTATTCTCTGGTGGACGAGACTGATTGAGTAATAAGAATCAAATTTTGTAAAGAAACAGTTCTTTCCCTGTTTCAAGATATTTCCATGGTAACAACAGCGTTACTGTTACCTATTAAATTTTTGCAAGTACTTTGTTAGGGAGATGTTTTTCTACTAGTTTCGTAAAATGTAAACTTCAACCTTTATAGTATATTACTTGCCTTAATCAGACAATTAATTAAATTGACATGTAACATTTTCTCTATTGACAGCAAATGCAGGGAGCATTTGATTTTCACTTTTTTTCCTTCATTTGATTGGTGGACAATTTACAATTTGTATTAAAACAGACAAGAAATTAAGAATACATCAGAACATCATGTATTAGAGTTCATGGAGAAAATATTATGTTTCCATTTATAAAATTGTCTGATTATGGTATAAACAGCTCTAAGGATGAGTTTAGGTAACAGAGACTAGATGAAGAACAAATCCCTGACAGATTGCTTGCAAATTTATAAGTTAACATTTTTACCTTGGAAATATGTTTTAAAGCAGGACCCCTCCTTTCCCACCTGTCTATGTATATTTTGTTTCTTGTGTTCTTTATTAAACTGTATTCCATATATGGCTAAATCATAAAACTGAAAAATTATGAGACTGATGGCAAAGAATTATTTAAAGACGAAATTGATCAATAAAAATATAAATATTTTCAAAAGATAGGGACTCAATTATTTTAATTTGGTAATTATTGTGAAAAAGGGGCATGGCGCCGCACCATGCTAGTTTGCTTTAGATTGAACACTAGTAAAGTTAGATGCGGTGATGGTGATGCTGAAGTATTTGTTATTCTCACCAAAAAGTTATTTCCCAAATTTAACAAAACAATTGAGTCAAAGCATCAGTATGTGAAATAAGTCAGTGGTCTTAAGTTTAAAACAAAAACTATTTAATCTTGTCTTTTAAATTCTTTAAAGCATGAATTTTTATGTTTGATAATTATATTTTGAGATTTAATATGTATTCTAGTTGAGAACAAAAACAATGTGAGAAATTTGACAGATATATAATTGTTTGATCAATAATAAAGTAAAAGGATGATGATTTTAGATCAGATGTAAGGAATTTTTTTATTGGAGGGGTGGGGTATATAAAGCTTTTTTTACTTTTGAAATTGGAATTTTTAAAATTTAGAATTTCTTTGTATACCTAATTAATTATGTTTGTAATTACAGTTATGGCAGACTGCCCACACACAATAGGAGTTGAATTCGGAACAAGGTAATCTTCAATTTATAAAATTATTGAAAGGACTGCATTCTAAGATTAAGTACAAGGGTATCAAATGTAACATTCATTAAAAAAAACAACAATAAAACTTGTTTTTACAGAATTATAGAAGTATCTGGACAGAAAATTAAGTTACAGATATGGGATACAGCTGGACAGGAGAGATTCCGAGCGGTGACGAGGAGTTACTACCGAGGAGCAGCGGGGGCATTAATGGTCTATGATATCACAAGGTAGAAATAAAGGGGGAATTGTCAAGGGGGTTATATTTTACCCCCTCAAAAACATCATGAGTTCTGAATTAGCAAAGTATTGCTAGCAAAATTTATGTTTATTTTAATGCGGGTGTAGCATGTTGGTTTCTGATCCACTTTCACAAGAATAATTTTTTTTTGAAAACAGGCGAAGCACATACAACCATTTAAGTAGTTGGCTAACTGATGCAAGGAACTTAACAAATCCCAACACAGTGAGTTTGTAATTCATATAGTTTAACTGCCAAAACTGGAGTAGATAACAGCATTACATTTTGGGACCAAAAAAAATTATTTTCTAAATTCATTTATTTATAATGGAAGTATTTCCTTTGTAGGTGATATTTTTAATTGGTAATAAGTCTGATTTAGAAGCTCAAAGAGATGTTACATATGAAGAGGCCAAGCAGTTTGCTGATGAAAATGGTATGTCAATACATTTTGTAATTCAATGTCTCATAAAAATAATGCGAGTTTTCTTTATGTTTTTTCAAATATATAGAATGTTTTCAGTTTGAAGTTTTCAGTATTTATATCTAAATATTAAAATCACAATATCTATTAGCCATTAAATTTAAATGAAATGCAAGTGATTTACAGTGAATTTTAAGAATATAAAAGACATGGACAACAAAAATGTTTTAATTTTTGTATTGCCACATTTCTTAAATGTCTCATGATTTAGTCATATCCTTGAACACAATCTAATTTTTTTCAGGTCTCATGTTCTTAGAATGTAGTGCCAAAACGTAAGTATAATTAATTCACATTAGAAGTTGTAGTCATAATATTTTTTTTCAGCAAATAAGTGTGAGCAACTTTTGAAAAAAGGCCTCAGAAAAAAGTCATTCTTTAAACATCAATTTGTAAAATTCAACATTCATTTCCATGTGAAAAAATTATTCTTCTGCAGGGGTGACAATGTAGAAGATGCATTTTTAGATACAGCAAAAAAGATATACCAGAATATACAGGATGGAAGGTGAGTTTTATAAGGAGTTTTCAAATACCTTTGTTTGCTGGTCAGGTGCAGAGATACTTTGGTTGAAGTTGTAGACTCATCACTTTTGCTGAGTATAAGATAGAAATAGATGTTAACAGCTAATACTATTGTACAATGGTATTCTTTGATAGATTTGGTTGTAAACTAGTAACATTAACTGTAAACTAGTAGTTTTGCATGACATAAATTGTCTACATTTATTGAGATAAATTGTATTACTCCCTCAAAATGATTATTATTCAGACAGCAGTATACAGGTATTAAAGACTAGCTTTGAAAAAAAAATGGAGGAAAAATTCTCTTAGGGTCAATATACTGGAATAAAAAAAATTTGTATTGTATTAAATAAAAAATGTGAAGTGAACTTTTGGGGGGTTAAAAAAAAATCTGTGAGGATGTGTGCTATAGAACCTAAAGTTCATATATTAATTCTTTTTTTTTTGCAGTTTGGACTTGAATGCAGCTGAGTCAGGTGTGCAACACAAGCCAGCTACGCCCAGAAATCCCATAAACACAGACCAAGCCCCCATTGATAAGGGTTGTGCCTGTTGATGACCCTGCCTCTGTCGTAGACGGGCAGATAACTGTGTATTCATTCCAAGGATGTGTGCAGCATGGGTTCTTTTGATCAAAATTATTCTCTTCTCCGGGCACCAAGGTGTGGAAGATCATCTGGTGGAGTAGTGAGATTATTATCGATAGAATTTTCTTTAAAGGATGATTGTTATGGAATTAGGAGTTCTGTAACAACCTACATTTGTGTATTTATAATTCTATTTAAACAAAAACATGTGATCGCATGATTGTAAATTATTATTATTAAAATATGGTACCTTTTTCAATGATATGTATGTACATGGTGCAATATTTTTTTCTCCCTTATCTTTTCTTTACTGATGGAATGATTTTGATCATAGAATACATGCATTGACTACTATTCATTTTAAAATGAACATGAGGTCATATTTAAATTGTGTTTTATTTTGGGACCTGGAATGATTGAATACCGTGTGACAATGTGTGAAAGGGGCGGGGAATTTCCTGTAACAGAGTTGAGAAAACATGTCAAAATCTCTGTTGTGGAGTCATTAGATTGAAGTCAGTTGATAGCGATGATGTGATTGTTCTGTTAATGTTATTGTTTTGTTAACTTATATCAAATATTTTGTGTATATGTGTATGTATTTCCTCTGCTGTTGCACATCAAAACTTAGTTATAACATTTTTTAGTTGAGGGTGGTAAAAGTAGGATCTGAATCGAGGATGCACTTCATGCACACTGTCAGATGGATATTTTTTGCTGCAGCAATTAGCAGTTATGAAGCTTTTGTGATAGAGAAGAATATCTTTATTCGATTTTTTCTTCATTGGATACAAATGAAAAGGCACAGGTGTATTGAGAAAGACAAATTAATGCAGATACATTAGGTTCAGTTACGGTAAATGATTACAATGGAGAGTTTGCTAAGTTATGTCTTGATAGATACTGATACTGGTTAGGCATGATTAGAATGTATATCTGATCTTGTTTTGGGAGGGGGATCATCAGTTCATTTTTACGTTACGAAGTTGGAGAAAATTCTTGATTGGTAACTGTATCATAAAGTTGGAAGTTGACCAAATGAAAAGGAAAAATATCAAATGTTGATGGTAAACCAATTGGAATGAAGTTCTTGATTTTGTAAAAGAAAATGTTAATAAATTTTCAGAAAGGGTTAAGAAATCTTTCAATAGAAAGTCTTATTATCCTCTTATTATAACTTGGCTCACAAAGAAATGAAGCAGGGAAAATTTAAGACAAAGTCTGACATATTTTTGTTCATTTTTACAGTTGGTTTCTTAAATATATAAAATATTCTCCATTGCAAAGTGTTGATAATATCGTTTGTCATCTAGGACCTTGGATTTTCAAGTAAAACTAACAAACAGCATTTAAATATACTGTTTCTATAATTCCGTAACAGTTTTGTGGATATTTGAATATATGCAAAACAATTGATCAAGTGAAACCTGTACTGGTGGATTAGTCCAATACAATGCTCTCATCAAACATCCTGATTTTGCTTTAGATTTAACATTAACATAAGCACATTCTCTAAAATTGACATATACCACACTTAATTTTTCACTTGGTAAGGAAAAGGTCACTAAGTCATTATAAATGTAAATTTTTGGCTTATTGGTCAACATTTTTTTCTTGAATTAATTTACAAATAAAATGCAAATAGTTCATTGGATGAACATGCACATCACATGGGCAGGCCCATATATTATTTAACATATAAAATTACTCAAATCCAAATTCTTATAGAAAAAAATCTGCTCATACTGCTTTGATGGACACAGGTGTACATTTCATGTAAATACAATAGCCATGTAAATTTTATGTAGCATGTGTATCCACATTGTCTTTCTAGCGTAGTTTGTATATGTGTCTTTATTTTTTATGCTTTTTGTGATATTGAGAAGAATTTTTAAAGTAATTCACATTACATATCTCTGATTGATTTATTCTGGTCTAATTAAAAAAAGGATACACATTTGAAATGTATATCATCTGAACTTCAGATCAATTCTTGATCGTTTATTTGGTATTTGGTGTTTAAATTTCTTTTCCAATTTTCCAAAAAACAAGTGCTGTATTTTATGATTGTGCATTTATTGTAAGTGCTATTCCCTTTTCATTAATATCTCTTTCTGGTGACCATATTTACCATCAGTTGAAACAAATACCTTCCATAAAAGTGATTGATTTATTAGTGTATTTATTATGTCCATTATCAAGAGGAACATTCTGTGTTGGTATAATTTTGTAAAAATTCAATTTCCAAGCAGTTTGATTTAACATTATTGACTGGTTCACCTTTTTTGTTTTTGACTCCATTATAATCTTTTCCCCTCCACAACCTGTAAATTTGTACCGACACAAGTTTAGGGCTTTAATGGTTACTAATTGCTTCTAAGAGAAACAAATTGTATTAATATATATGGTGTAGTCAGTTCAGAACTTAAAATATAAAAAATTGTAACAAATGATGTGATAACCTGTTGTATGTAATTCACCCTCACTCATTTAAAGTAATATATTGAAGTCAAAGGAATAAATTATGAAATAATTCTGAAGTAGTTTTGCAGTTTTGTATGTTCCAGTGAGGTAAAGGGTTTGGGAAGTAATATTCATATTGATCTTTTGTTTCTCTACCTGTTGTCAACAGACATGACTTAAGTTATTACCATCCATACACTTCACTTGAAAGTTGAATTGATAATAAGTTGAAGTATTGAATAATAATTTTTCCACCATGGGAAATTGTTACCATCGGGATCATTGCTTTGTATAAGTACATGTTGATTTTGAGAAGACATTGCTTCAGATATGTAGATTGAGGTGAAGAAAGTAAATTAATTCGTTGGAGTATATCGCAGTAATCACTATCAGTGATAATCAGGAATGGTTACAGAAACTTTCATGGTATTTGATTCATGGTTCTCTCTCCATAACGGAAGGAAAAATGACAAAGTATGAAATTTTATCATTTTTAATAGCACTCATGTAAACATTAACAATACTGTGCAGTGAAAATTATGATGTGTTCAACCTCCGCTAGATTTTAAACCTTTTCCATATTTTGATTTAAAAAACAATGAACATATATATAGAATATATGAAACGACATGGCAAAGAATGGTGTTAGAAAACACACATGGCAAGTCATGCTTTTTCTGAAGTTTGTACAAGTTAATAATTCTATAAAAGAATTTATTGTTAATTAATTGTATACTAGTATAGCCATCAAATGAGTAATTTCACTCAAAAAAAGAATTTAATACTTAAATCATATAAGAATATAATATGACACAGAAAAAGAAATGCAATGCAATAAATTATGTTTAACAATTATATAAAATATATAAACAAAAAAACAAATACATGTATCACAGTGAATTTCTGATGCTAAAAAAAGCAACAAAGTTCAGTAGATTGGTTTGTAGACAAACCATCAGAAGTTATTACAGCTCTGGTACTAACGCACCAATATTGAGCAAAATTTGCATAAAAATATATAATAATACTGTTTTCAAATACTCTGATGAGTAGCAGTTTTAAAAGATTCTGTTCCAATACTTCCAAATCGCTGACTTAAGCAAGAATCAATCAATGTACATGCTGATTAAATCTTCTCCTAGAAATTCAAAACATGAGAAGACAACTAGCTATTAAAGTGTAAACTCTACCAAAAATCTATCTTGAGTACATGCAAGAAAAAGCTTTTATAATAAATAATTTGTTGCATTTTTATAATACTGATTTCTACATTATTATTGCTTCAAGCAAACATGATCACTATGTTTGTACATACATATACCCAGAATGAAAACCATCATTAAAACTACAAAATGCACTGGCTTCATCATCAAGTGCTGGCCTTCCAAGTTCACAAAAAGCTATGTAGACAATATCAAAATTTTTATAAAAAATTCAATTTATAGTGCACATGATCAGACATAGAAACTTAAATTTCAGTTTAAATACTGAAACATTACTGTAATTTGCATCAACAAAATTGCTGAAAACATTAAGACACAAGAGAGTCCATTTAAAATTTTGTAATCGGGTTAAGAATCCAATCGTTAGAATGCCTCTCCCAGTGTCCATCGATGATCGGACTTCCTGCGACGGAGTCGAATGATACTGCCATCCACAGAGGAAGCCATGGCTTTTCCTTTGATGTCGTTTCGGAGACGGAGTTGTGACAGTTTCAGGAGACCGATGTTGCGACTTGTGGCAGACAGAGATTGCAGCAGGCCATCTCCACTCTGAAATCAACATTAGTAACATTCTATTATATTTGTAAATTTTTAGAGAAATCAGTTTTAAAAAGATTGTCATTGAAGAGGTTAATATTTTTGTTTTTCGGATTTCTTTGCTGGAGTTATGTCCCTTACCCTGATAATTTCCTGAGCCTCTGGTAACTGAGTTCCTGGATGTCTCTGGAACACCTTGACCATTGGACGATCCAAACGCTCACGCGTTGCAATATCAGAATACGCAACTGGACCCTAGAATAAACAAGGTATAATTTCTTTATTGATAATGCATGTCAATTTATTGCTGCAAGTAAATTTTCACATATCTATTTTATTTGCAATCAACATTGCTAATCCAATTTTTAATTACCTAAAATTGTATGTCCTTGCAATATTTTTAAGCAAGCATATACCTGGTAAGCTTTCTTTTATATTTATAAAAATTATATTAACTATCTTAATAAATTAATATAGAGTTTTTCCCCTTTTCCATCCTTGATTATAATTTAGTTATGAGTTAACAGATTTTTCTTACCATTGTGTATCCGCGAGCCTTGTCAGTGGCATCATACCATCTCTGGGCACGGTGTATACCATGACGATTCTCTCCCAGACCAACCCCAAGGTGTTGCTAAAACAAAAAAAGTAGCAAAATAAGAATTGAGAATCTTTCATTTATTTCTGTTGTTATTCAAATTGAAAAAATAAATCTATTTTTTTAACTTCTTAAAAAATTTCAAAATCACTGAAAACATTTGTTTATTATCTCTTTTGTCACTAGTGCTGACCTTAAGTGTGATGGTTTCTGCCACTTTCTGTGTGAGTCCATCATTAACAGACTTGTGGGCAGCTTTCTGTAGTTTCTCGGTTCTATCTATGGCATCCTTCAACTCACGTCTGAGGTAAGCAGAGCGGGCCCGGGCCTCCTGGGCATCCACAAGGGCTTGGTCAGCCTCAGGGGTGTATGGCCCAAGGGGGTCTGGCTGACCTGAAATATTAAAGAAAGGATCATTGTAATATATGGCTGTCGAACATCTTTATTAACTTGTGAATTAAAGAGTGATTATTTCTTGGTTAATTTGGTAAGGTACATAGGGCATATTCATAGAGATTTCATTTTAGTACTGCTAGATCTATGTTAGAATTGTGTAAATATTCTAACTAGTAAATTACTGGTCTTATATCAGTTTTGAGTGGTATTTAAAAATTAGAATTAATAAGATTTGAATTAATTTTTATGTGAAATTTTATATTTATTACAAATTAAAAGTGAATATTGGTATACATGTATTAACATTATCATGAAGCTGTCAAGAGAGAAAATATTTTAGTTAGTGGGTTGGAAGTCTTTTTAGTGAATGTTATTATATTACAAAAAAGAAAGGAAAAAAAACCATGCATCACACCACTCTTCAAGAAATCAAATGTAAGTTCCAGATTTAGGAGTAAAAACAATGTAAAGGAAAAAGCAGTCATTTTTGTCTCACTTTAATGAATCCAACATATAGTTGTTAATATACAGGGTGAAAATCAAATGTTATTGTCAGGAGACAAGTTATACATTTGGGATGCAAATTGAAATATGAATTTTGTTTCATAAACTGATGAAAATGTGCACTTTTTCACAGAACCAAGGCAGTCCATTGCTCCACAATAAGAATAGGCATTTCCTTGACGTCCCCCCTGCCATTTCATCAAAACTCAAAAATATTGTAAAAAATTAATTATAAATAAGACGAAAATTTTCAATACAGTGTATTGATCATGAAGTGTAAAAAGAATTCAGCATTGAATATTTATATTGAAAAAAAAAAATTAAAATTTAACCCAAGAAAAATTAAAACTATGATTTTTTTTCTTCAGAAAAAAATCTACCAAAGAAATGCCCGATGATACCACTGCATCCAACATCTATGTTTTCTTTATAAATTTATTTACCTAGGGACATGAATCCAAGTTTACCTGACAGGTCATTTAACCTAGAGAGTCGACCATCCATGGAGGTACGACTCCTCCCTAATCCTGTGGGGGCGCTCTGACTGCCGGCGGAGGAGAGGGAGTGGTTCAATAGGTCCATCACACGGGATCTCTCATTCAGAACATTAAATAGGCGACGTCTGGCTGCATCTAATACCTGGAAACAAGGACGATATTTCTTTTGCAACATGCCATGTCTGGATTGATGTATGTAGTTTGGCGTTAGCAAAATTAAGACAAATGAAATATTAAAATACATGTAATTTGCTATCATTTGTGAATGAAAAGAGAATATTGAATGTGTTATATAAAATTACACTAGAAATACATGTACAGGTTTTCTATAAAGTGAGGAATTGAAAGTTTTTTTTATACACCCGTCTTAAGAGTGTTGATTTTTTTCTTTCATTTTTTCCCCTTGTCACATTAGTTAAAAAATATTAAGGCCTAGAAAACTTTGTAATGATACATCTTGGGTGATGTGTCGCGCAATGACGACATAATTAAAAAGTTATAGCCAAATATGTATCACTAATAATGATTTTCATTTACGGTAGAAGGTGTGTCGCGACCTATTTCAAGGTCACTGTGACCTTTAATTTAAGTGGAATTTTTAAAAAGAAATGTCTTTTTTTCATTCATTTACACATTCAAAAAAATGTAAAACTATTGCACTAACCTTATTAGAAAAATGTTGCTTATTTTTTTAGCATATATACTTGACAGCAATCTATAACAAATGTAATGTATGCCTCCCATGAGCTTTATCAAGCACTGGTCACAGTTCAGAAAATTGCATGTCAAATTAGAGAGAGAAATTAATGAGTTTAGTGTGAACAAATCATCAGCACCTATATCCCTGTTCCTGTAAGCCTTTTGGATTAAAAATATCTTATAGAAAGTGTTATAAACACATTAATTAAATTTATCACTTAAACTATTACATAATATTGTCATTTTGGGGTTTTCAATTAACTGTCTGACATTAAATCTAAAAAAAAAAATCATTGATGTTTTATACGTTTTAAAAATGTTTTATGGTAGATAGTGCAGATCCAATAATCTTTTGGGAGTAATGAGTAGACAAGCATCCAGCTAAAGATTAATTAATGTGTTCAATTAGGAAGGCTAGCTGCATGTCTCTTTCATTACTTCAGAGCATGCTCTTAATTGTCCCTTCCAGAAGAACTGTTGGTCAGTTTATATTTGATGGCCAGCCTTTTATTTCCAAAATTAATTGTTAAGTTGTGATTTCATATTGTTTAACAATAGGCATTTGGTAAGGTTACAATTTTTGATGCAATATTTGTTATAATTAATGCCTACACCACATGAGATGGATAAACAAATTTTTTAAGGTGTGTAAAAATCATTGAAATCTTAAACCTTTTCCATTTTAACTGTTTAAGAACATTATAATTGTAATTTTTTGACGGGCGTATCATGCTGTGTGTGGCACTTTATTTAAAATCATATTTGTTATTTAATCCAGTTACATTGTTAAGCCATTTGTAGAATGTTTTGCTTTGTTGCATTTTTTTGCAAACATCTTGTGACATCTCCCATTCTAGATTTAATGATTTAAAATTTTATGTAATGATATAATAAGTAAACCATTTTTGATTAAATGATGAAAATATGAGTTAAACTGTGTCCTAGTATATTTATAGTTTTTGATCTTATCTAGAAGGCCCCAGTGTATATTAATATACATATTTATTTCTAGTAATTTGATTATGTTTTCATTGTTTTAGAACAAAATAGATCTGTGTCAAAACTGTAAACCTACACTCAGAGTATAAATGTCAGCCATAGTATTCTACTATGAATGGGGCTTTTAAAGTGCACTGGGGGGTCCAATAGCAAATGCATGAAACAAAAATAACTGGTCTATATTTATTAAAAATTAAGTGCATTAAAATGAATTGATTGCCTTACTTCAGTTTTCAAAATGTAAAAAAGAAAAGTTTAAATGTTTATGTTAATTGTTGCTTTAGTTACAGAGCTTTTAATTAAATGTATTCTATTGATTTTCTAGGCTTGTAGTTTATATATTAAGCTAAAACATAATATAATACTGGAATGCCATGAAATATTTATTTATGGTACTCCACAATATGCCAAATGAATGTTTAATGAAACATTACTGTGGATCAATAAAGGAAAACAAACACATAGTTTTGTCTCAGCCTTTTTATGGCCTAATCAATGCCCTGCACAAGTACATTAGTCTGTTGCTACATTTGAAAAGGAAAAAGTAAATATGAAAAAGTTTTAAGCACCGATGGTTATGCAATCTCAAGGGAGTATGCCTTTATTAGCCGACAATTAATGTTCTTCCGTGCCACTGAGGAAGAGGGTTTTGAGATTATAAAATAAAATATACTTTTTTTAAAAAAAATGTGAGTTTTTTTTTGAGAAAAAATAGCAAAATTTAATGAATGCATATAGCATGTAATAACTGTAATAACTTTGTTAACAGTTTCAAAGCAAGTTTGTTTGAAGATTTATAAAGTAAAGGTAACCTGTACACTTGTGATGTATTAATTCAATTTTTTCTATTTTAGAAAAATAGTTATCCAAAAAATGAGAATGTAATAAAAACTTTTAGATGTTTACTATTTTTTATTTTGGCCTTATAAAAACTTTTTTTAATTTGAGTTTTTGAAATTGCATATTGATTCAATAAAAGACTTTTTGAGTGTTTGTAGCTCTGTACACTTTTTTCTATAAAAAGAGAGTGTAAAAAGATGTTTACTAACCCATTCATAGACCACTGAACTATTCAAATGAAAAAAAAAATCTTGAAATGAAAACTTCAATAAATTTAAATTTCAAACTCAGTTGAGCAATATCTATAACCCTCTGGCATTAGATATTAACTCTGTCCTATGACTGTCAACAAATATTTTTTTCCCAAGTTGTGTATTAGTGTTTTTATAGTCAAGACATCGGATTTAAAATCCATTTTCTCAGGATTGAACAGTCCGGTCTGATTGACAACTGATTTTGCTGTTCAGTGGTGTTAATAGCTGTAACAAAAGCATTTAATCAGATTTAAGATTTCCGATATTTACACAAACATTAATGTGCATATCTTGCACGATTTGATTGAAATTCATTTAATTTTAATCAGATTGCTTTTTTTTTTTAACAATGTATATATGCAACTGATTTAAAAGATTGAAATTAAAAAATAAAATCTCAGTTTAATATTTAAAGCTTTTCAATTTTAATGTGGGCCATATTATAGGCTAGCATAATCTTTATTTCATTAAACTTTAAAGAAAAGGACCAAAAAAATCATCATTCAATTTAAGGAAGATAAAACTGACCAAAAATTTAACTAGACTTCAATGTGAGGTTTTATCAATATTGCTGTTAGTTTAATCTGTTTATAAATATGGATAAAAAGACAGGTCTGAATAGGACATACTTAGAGAAAATTGAATCAATGATGAAACAGCTGAATAACACAGTATCACAATTCACAAAACTTAGATGAACAATGTACAATTTGGATTCTTCATCACAAATCAATTATGTCAATAGAATCATGGATCCCAGCTATATTCTTGTCTTAATCCAATATTTTATTATCAGTGGAAATTTATGAAGATTTTCCTTATTATAGAACAAACAATTATTAGATACATATGTGGATAATCATGTGAACAAATTTTATGAAATGCTTATAGATAATATTACAAAAAGTAGAACACAAAAACTGTTCTGTTACATAATAAAAAGCAATGCATATGTTTCAGCCACTTATTGAATTTTAAAAAGGAATTTAAATGAAAAATATATGTACAGATGAACATCAACATTCAAATACTGTGTGTGTCAAAGAGATTTGAAGTAGTCAATTTCATCTTCAATGTGTATGCACACAATTTTTTTTGGCTGGGTGCAAGACTACATGATACTTGTGCATTGCATAATTGTTCTCTCAGGCAGGTCCTCTATAAAAATTGTGTTCAATACTAACATAATTGTTATAAGTCAAAATGGCATAAATAGTACATCATAGAGTATCACATGCACAGATGCCTGTGTGTGTTTCTTCTATAAGTAAAAGTCATTAATTTATGCTATGTACGCGCTTTTTTCCACGGAAATTTGTCAAACATACTTAATATAAATGTGCATATATAGTGACAATCTAGAAAATCCGCGTAATTTTGTACCCGCGGATTATCTAGTGGCTAGGTGCAAGACAAAAAAGTACTTACAGTATTTTATAGTATTTTAACATCAATATTTCACATCCTTGGATGTCTTGCAGCTTTCCTCATCCACCATCAAGTCAGAGATAATGAGGTCTGACTGTACATTACATATGTTTATGTATTATACTAGCTGCAAGTAGGCATAATATTTTAGATCTTATATTCATTGCGCACAAAAAAGTGCACTCGCTTCTCGATTTATTTCTCCGTGTTTTTTAAACTGTGGTCTCAAAATATTATCAACCGTATGTTCCTAACATATTCTTTCGCTGTTTCCACAACCAAACATTCCTCAAAATTGTTGTTAATACATGTAGTCCTCCTGACCCTTATATTGTAATCATAGAACATTTCGCTTATTTATACTGCCATTTTGGTTTCAAAGATAATTCGACTCAATATCCTTCGTTCAGATGTCAACTACGAGAGAACTTGATAGAGGAAAAAAGAATTTTTTGAAATCTTCCTTTTTTTGCAATTGAGGTAAGAATTTGGAAGAATTAACCAAGAACCGAGCGCACTTTTTTGTGCGCAATAAATATAAAGTTTTTTCAATGGGTGGCACTGTAGCTCTCCGGTCTATCAATATATTTTTTGGAGAGCTACAGATCTGCAGCTAGTATTATACATACTTTTTACATACATCTTCATGTTTAATGCATACCTGTTGATGTAATGCATACATGCAGTATCACAGCAACTAATATTTCATTTTATAAAACCATGAAAAACTTACTTTTTCCTTGAAAACTTCATGTTTAACAATTAAAAAAGTACAAAGCTGGTGTTTCACTGTATTGTGCTATATGCCACAGCAAAACATAAAGGTTTTCCTTTATCAAATATATAAATTTCATCAAAACTTGTGCAACCTTACCCTTTCTCTGGCTGGTCTAGATACTCTGACTTCTTGGCTGTCTTTATTCAATGCAATATCTTTTCTTGTGTGTTCCAGTGCCTTTTCCAAAGCCTCTTTACCCCTAGTCAGGGCCTTTATTTCTTCATTTGTGTCCAGTAAACTTTCACGCAGTTTAGCAACAATAACTCTTACTTCTCTTGTATACCTGTGAATCTCATCGTTACTTAGTTGTGCAACAGTGTCTCTAAGATGTGGAAGAGGGTCCAGTGATCTACCAACATCACAACTTTTATCACTTTTCTGAACTATGGTTTGTGATAGTTTAATTCCTTTCAGTGTTGAATTTCTCCACGATTCGGGACCAATAGTGGTGGCAGCCTTATTTCCCAACATGATTACACTTTAAATATAAGTAACTGTCATATAAGCTGCCCTTCCACGCGAAGTAATTGTGTATTCACTTGTTATTTAATTAATGCAGGCCCTGGTGATTAAACATTGGTGTCGTCTTCCCCTTGGCGTTGCTGTTGGAAACCAAACGCTACTTACTTCCGCCCAGTGCTGAACTTCCGCTGAAGATCTAAGTCTGTTTTCATTGGATAAAATTCTTTACAGGTAAAATTTTTATAAATAAATGAAAAAATTATTTGTATACAACATATGACATATAATTAAACTTTCATTATATAAATGACTATCACTTTTTAAATAAAAAATAAAGAGAGAGAATAAATATATTTATGAGTCAATCAAAATCATCTTGGGAGTTTTCGTTTTTGTAACTGAATATTAATTACTCAAATGTCGCAAGTATGTAGACTAACACGTTTTTTTTTAATTCTGTCTTTAAAGTTCAAATACTAAATTTAAGCTCAATGCAAAATCGATTTGTCTTTCTTTCTTTTTTGTACAGAAAACCTCTGCCTTCAGCTCGCACTTGCTCTACTGTGACGTCACCCCGGCCTAATATTTGCGGAGTGCAGAGGTGTATCCGGAAAAGAGCGATTCTACAACAACAGAACCCATGAATTTCCTTGGTTTTTGTTCCCGTGACACAAGTTTGTGAGATGGCTTCTGTAAGTCGATGGATGCCAAACACAGTAACTCGAAATTTTTATTTGGATCCTGACGATTTGAATGATTCAACTGACAGCCGACAACAGATCAATTCTGACATTCCACCCACGAGGAGAAGGGACATTCTTTCATTCAAACGGTCTCTTTCGGACGACAAGGACGGCGCGTCAGGTAACGACAAACTGGGCACCAGGAAGGACCTCGCTATAAGAAGCTCTACTGATAAGTTGAACGGAAATAATTGTGACGATAATCAGGATATAAATAAAATGGGTAAAGATACATTACAAAACTCATCTCCGGATGATGGTCCCCCAGGAAATGTAATCACAAGTCACTTACGGCATGTGCATAGTAATCCCTTTTTTCTAAACTGTGGATTGTCCCATCCACACGGAAAAATCTACGATGATCAACAGAAGCGAAAAAATTCATTACAAGATGAAAGTGATTTAGAAAGTGGTGCTGAATATGGTGTTAATTCAGGATTTGTGAATAAACTTCGGCAAAAATTTACATCACTCAACCAAAGGGAGGCTAGTGTCAATCGATTTCCAGCAAGAAGGTTTGCTAGTGTCGAGAATTTGTTGGAAACTTCTGAAAAGATTTCATTTCAGGAAAGGACACGACCCTTCAGTTCTAACAAACCCAAAACACTTAAACAAGATTCGAACTATGTTAGGAATAAACCTGATTTGCCAAAACCACCCAAACCTCCAAAAGCAAGGCCTGAAAGGAAAACAAGTGATTCTGTGATTGAACAAAAGCAACACAAACCTGTACATTTAGAACATGAGGCACCGGACATTAACAAAATAGGACGGAATGACATAATTATAATTGAACACCCCAAACCCACGCCAGTCCCAGAACCAGCAAAAGACGAAGAAACCCCAACAAAAATGAATAGCATCAAGGCTCTGAAAGACAAGAAAGTTCCTGATGAACTACCAAAGCCAAATACAGTTTCATCTTTTCGGTCCATGTTTGAAAAGAACAATTCATCAGTCTCAAGGAAACTTCTTCCAGACGCTCCAAAAATAGCAGCTCCAAGACCAAGTAAACCCAGTAAATTGAAGGTGAATCGCAAGGAGGCAGTAGAGGGTTCTCCCCTCTCTTCTCCCATCAGCAAATCACCATCACCAGAGGTGAAGAAAGAATCATCCCCAGAGGTGAAGAAAGAATCATCGTCAGAGGTAAAGAAAGAGCAACCAAAGTTTGTGGAAGCAGAGAAGAATGAGATGCTAGTAAAACCCAGCACATTAAAGGAGCGAGCCCAAGAAACACCAAGAATTCTGGATTCACCAGTTACCAGAAAAAAGACCTATCCTGAAAAGAAATCAATTTTTGATTCAGACTTCAACATTAAATCTGAAGTTCAACCCATTGTAAGAAGTAACTTACAGAAGAGTAAGGTGGAAACAACCAAAGTGACCTCATCTGAGGCCAGCCCTGATCAAAGTGTAAAAACTGAAGAAAAAATAGTTGTGAAATTAAAACCTGTTAACATGGTTAATGATAAAAATTTGCAGAATGAAAAAAGTAAAAGCCCAACAAACAAAGCTGCGAAGAATAATGAGTATTTCCCAGGAAGAAAAGAAATATTTGATTCCTCTATTATTCCCAAAAGTCCAAGACAAGAATCCAAGGAGAATTTGGTTAATACAGTTAATGATAAAACTAGATCACCTTCTCCAAAAACAACTCTTTCTGAGGAAATATTTCCTGGAAGGAAACAAATATTTGAGTCCTCCCAGATTTCTCCAAGTCCCAGAGTTCCCAACAACATGTCGAAGAAAAAGCGAGCCCCTAAACCACCAGCAAATTCTCTGTCTGCAACAACTGTGAAAAGTCCTGCTCCATCCATGCCTGTGGAAAAAAGTCCTGCCTCAGTGGTCAACGATGCAGTCAAAATCACTGTGGTTGATCCTCCCTCTGTAAGCATTTCAAGTGTAGTGCCCGAGAAGCAGGAGTCTACAAATACTGTGTCCAGTCTCCAAACCTCAACTCCCACAACTCCACGTACTCAACCAAAACAGATTACAGAACTCCCAGAATCCTCGCCTGCTCCCTGGACAACTCAACAGAAAACCTCCACCAAATCAAGTAAGGTGGAAAAAGAGGAGATTAAAGAAGGAACGGAAAAAGTTAGCAATTTTACTCCCATTGAAGTGTCTTCAAGTAATGACAATACCCCTACAAGGGGTTTACCCTCAGTGATAGCAAATAGACTAAAAAAGAATTCGAAAAATGCTTCCAGCAACGTGGAAGGAAATGATAAAGCTGAGTCCAGTGACGATGACGATGGTCCACAAAATCTGGTAAAACCAAGTCAGTTAAGAAATAAAGCTTTTGTCAAAGTCTCAAACAGCCCCTCTGTGCCAAATACACCAAACTCAGTTAGTCCCAGTGAATCCCAAAACTCAAACACTAATGTGCCAGTCAGAAACATTGAAGATCTCATTCGAAAGAATCGAGACAAGCCCGCTGCCCTGTTTGACTCGAGCAGCATTGTGCCCAAAGTCCAACCCAAAGTGAACGGAGTCCCTCCCCTGGACCTCGGGGACCTCATGACTGAGGAACAGAACCACCCATACCAGGAGGGCTACATCCCAACCAAGATCGGGCCCTGTAACATTGTGTTTTTAGGGGCAGGCGTCAGCCTTGAGACTCAGCCACTGAAGAAGAGCAGGAGTGGGCATTCAGTAAGATTTTGTTGCTGCATACATTTTAATATTTTCCAAAGAAATTTAGTTGAAGTAAAGAGAGAATGTGAAGTAGGTTTTCAGTTGATGTTGATGGCTTTTATCACAAGTTATTATGAGTTTGCTGGTCTGAGTGAGTAATATCCAATTGTGTTGGATGAAGTGTTGGATGTGATTTATATTTTATTAAGTATTGGATATTATAAAGTTTATTATGTCTAATACATAAATCTTATAGGGAAGAATGTGAAGAATTCACACTTCATATGTCGTCTAAATCTCTAAATACTTGAAAACCCCTTGAGCTTGTCTCAACATATATTTTAAAAAGAGAGGGACCAGTATCAACCACACGAGATAAGATTAATGTATTAGGGGACACTAACTTCCTTGTTTTCGTTTTTTGATAAGAGGCTTCTCCATGGTGACATCCTGAGGGAAAACTCAAATCTCGCAATATTAGATAGTGTAGGCAGGATAGAAACAATTACTGTACATTTAGCACAAAACTCGCAATATTAGACTAGAGGCAGGATAGAAATGTTGTAACTTCAAATACCTCAAAACTTGCAATATTAGAGTGTAGACAGGATAGAAAATTGTTTTCACAACAAGTACTTTATCTTTACATGTCGTACAATGTACTTACTATTGGCGATAATTAGATTGGGTGGTTCATAAATAAACCATATTTGTTCTGACGCACATGAGTTAGAACATGAAAATAATAATTTTTTCTTGAGGATGGTCAAGTCTCGAAACATATTTCACATCTGATAATTATATACTTTTATATTAAACATACATGTAGTACATCATGTTTTTTTTTTTAAAGGTGAACAAATGAACACGAATCAGTTGACCTCTGACAAGAATGCATCTCCCACCGTGTTGATGCACCTTGTATATACACAGAAAAGTCCGTATTTAGCCATTTAATATACACCATTTGCTTGTTTAAATTTTGACCCTGCATGCACAAGTTTGGCAATGAATTCATTTTTTTATCAGCTTTGGGTTATCTGATAGATAACATGGGACTACCTAAAGGAAACACACAACATTGCATACACACATACAAAATGGTGATACTACACCAAACACAATTTTAAAAGTTTACTTGTTCGTGTGGGGACTGGGAATACCTTGATATATTATTAATCCTACTTATTGAAATTCCTTTTTGCATAGTCATGACATGACAACAACAAAAATTAAAATGTTTGCTCATGTTCTTTTAGGACCTCTGGTTATAATATGATCACTTGCATAGTGGGCCTTAATGGTTTCTAAATTCCCAAACATTTATGAATACATATTATATACATGATCTCACATAAACTTGAAATGGTGTATGTCATACTTGGACTCATATAAATTTGAAATGGTGTATGTCATTGGAAGATAATTTTTATTTGAAAATTAAGACACAGAAGTCAATAGTATTTTATTATGTTGTTGATAAACTAGCATTTCAAAGGTTTGGCGATCTAAGTTGATACTACCCTATATTCATATTAGTAATTTGTCTTACAAAGTTGAAAGCTTTGAAATGCAAAGTTTAATGAGCAAGATCACTTGCACAAACAAGCTTCTTTGAACAAGTTCGATTTGCGTGCAATTATAAAAGTCAGTGATTCGTAGTTTTGTTAATTCTTTTCTTTTTTAAAAGTCTAAAAAGATTTATCTTGAGACTTTAATCCATATTTTATGATTTATTTAGCACCATTAAGTTGTGAATCATTGCAAAATAAAAGTTACAAGTTCATTTAACATATAGTTAATGGAAGTGGTAAGGTGCAGATGAAGGAAAATTAGTGAACGCCCTTGAAGTCTGAAAGGCTTTTAAGAGCACAATGACATGGCAACATATTATGTCTGTAACATGTTGTAAGACCTGGTAATTGGTTGGGCAGGTCTTTAAAGCTAGGTACTTACAGAGGACTAAGTTAGTACATCTGTTGACCTTTGAAATTGACAATGGCCCTACTGATCCAAATAAGCTCAATTGACATAATTTTAATTTATGTATATAAGTATCTAGTCTTATTGTTTGATTGTCTGTTTGAGATATTTTTTACTCATACTAAGATGCCACCACTTGCTGGTGGAGGGTAGCAAATTTTGATCTGTATTACTCAACTCTTATGACCTTTTAGCAGACAGGGACATCTCTTTGTTCAGCATCTGCTGCAACACAGGACCTTGATTTATACAGTCTCATCTGAAGCAGTGGAATTTAAACCAAAGAAGTAGATATATCAACTCCTTACTCTTCAACTCTCAGAGCAAACACTCTACCACTGTGTCATGTCTGCAACCAAGAGCAAACACACAACCATTGCACTACACATGCAACCATTTTGTTTTGATATTCAGATTTCATTTCTAGAAATGAAGATTCACTTCTTAGGGAGACTGCTTTTAATGTAATCACTCAGTGATTGCCTTTTGCTTTCTGTCTGTGAGGATTAATGCATCATTTCTCAAGTGGAAAGTCAACCCAGTTTCCACAATCAATATTGTACATATATAGTTCAGTATTAGTCATGATATTGTAGAAAATTCAGAATTCACCAGAGAAAAGGTTCTGCAAGCTTGCAAGTGAGTGATCTCTTTACATTTACTTGGTGGCAATTAATTATGTTGATGACTCAATTAAGATAATGAATGGCAAGGTTTTAGCTTTGAACATGTTTTATGACATGTGAATTCAAGAAGTGGAAAAAAGAGTAAAGATTTACTATTATATTGTGTTGTATTTTATTAAAAGGGAATCTGAACTAGCAATACTTTAATTAATATTGTTGGTTAATTAATAGAAACATGTATATGTGAGCAGTCTTTCTATGTTATCCTGATTTGCATGTAGCAGGCCTTGGTCTTAGTCTCTTAGAGTGTAGATAATTCATTGTCTCTCTTGTCCATGTCAACCAATTATTTATTACTCTAAGCGGACTATTGCTAATACAAGGGTTTTATATTTGCACCTAAAAGGTTTTATAGATAACGTACATGTAATAATGTATTAGAAGGCATGTAACACCATGTTTTATGTCCTATATTATGTCCTTGTGAGTGTTATAAACGAGTAATAAGAGCTTGGCAAAATTCAATCATTGGTTAGACCGAGGACAGTGCATTGGGACACCATTGTGTTACTTGGGTTTACACTTGTATCATAAGGATGTGACATATTCTAACTATCACTAGAGCCGACATTATTACTTAGTGCTTAACATTGTTTACTGCTGTATTGACTTGGAAGCATTGGGGGAAAAGCATCAAACCATTGTTTTTGTATTGAACAGTCAACTGCCTCTCTCATATGTGCAAATGCAGTCTTTAAGACCTGGCTTGGTCTAGAGATTTCAAACCACAGGGAAAAATTTTTAATGAATTTCAATATGGTTTGTCTTGTGTAAAGTGAAGATAAAATTACATGTATATAGTTATACCCATACATGTATACCAGTACAAGTACATTAGAAAATCTGCCTCATGATACCAAATTGCAGGGATAAAAATTTTATTGAGATTCAAAAATGTTTGGGTCAATATAAAGTCAAGATAACATTATAGGAGTACATCATGTACATTAGAAACTCTCCTCAGTGGTTCAGTCAGAGGCGTATTGTTTGTCCATAGCTAAGATTCCTTTAATATTTGCACTATTTGCTATAGTGGACCTGGGGTTATAAGGTCACCCTTCTTCATAATGACGGGTATGAGGCTTGGCTGAGACCGGGATATAAATTCTTTTAATCTACTCAAGAACATAATCTTCAATTTATTACACATGCGTGTGCCAGTCCCACTAACTTTTTTTCATGTGAATGGAAAATTTGTATTGTCAGATATTTTTTTTCTGTCATCTTAGGAAATGGGCATCATAAATAGATGTACCATGTCCTTGTAATGTAAAAATAATTGTTTTGATGAAGTTGTGTAAGGTGTCTACACCTACGAATGTTGACACAAATGGGAGAAATGCACCCTGGGTAATACTTTTATCGCCAAGGCTAACTAAACAGCTAGGAGTTTCACCTGTACATGGTTATCTGAGTTTTCGGTTTTTTACCTACAGTGTCAGTGAATGTGGCCATTGAAGGATTATCCACTCGCCAATAGCGGCCAAACATCTACCTAAATGATCAGTTGTAAATCTGAAAGATTTAAAAGTTGTTTTTCTCTGAAAATACCACCTTCCCTTCTCATTTGCATCTCTCTCCATTTTCTGCTCACTAAGAACTATGAAGGCATCAACTTTTGCACGAAGTCAGAAAAACATGGAGGGCATTGCATAACAAATGAATTCTAGTTGTCAAAATTAGAATAAGATTAGAATTGTGTGTCCTGTCCTTTATGCTGGAATCAATTCAGTGACTCATCTTTTTGTATACACACTACTCCTTTTTGTCAAGAAAAGAGAACAGTGTATTGTCAGAAAATGGACAGATTGAGGTAAATTAAATTTGATCCCATAATGCTTTACAAAATTATAAAATTATTTAACGGATAGTTCTTAAATCTTTTAAAAGTCCCTGAAACATTAAAGTTTCATAATCTGTTAAATTCTTCACAGTAAATACAAAAAAAAACCTTTAAAAGGATATATGGAGTAAAGGTATAAACAGTAATGTAAAGGGTGAGGGAAAGAGAGCATTGTCATGGGTTATTTTCGTGTGACAATATTTGTAGATTAAGATATGCCACTTACACTTAACGGTTTGCCACCTTCCAAATGAAGACGTATTGCCACTGGCTATACTACTGACAGCCCAAATGAAGATGGTTCATTGGTCAGTGGCTAAAATGGTCAAATTAGCAAAAAGAAACAAAAAATGGTGTATGAAAAAAAAGAGTTTGTTTATACCAAACATTTAAAGTATCAATTATTTAATGAAAGAATCATGTCATATAACAAAGATAATTTGATATCACATATGTTGTTTGTCATGTTTAAAATAGGGGGACATTCAGTTCGTCTAGACAGGAAA